CTGTAGAAATCGAAGAAGATGAACCAGAAATTTGGGGAGAAAAATATCTCCTATTATGTCTGTTTTCTGATTATCCGTACAAGCATGCAAAATGCTATTTATACACATGCATCACGTCACACATTCAAAACGACGTCGCATAGTGTATTGTTTTGGTTTTAATATGGAAAGAAAAAAACGTAGTAGCATAGCTAACACACTTACAGAGGAAAACATAAAATCGAAAAAAAAAACAAAACAAAAAAAAAGAAAGAAATGAAAAATGTATATATCAACAGCCCCCCCTCAAGTTGGACATGGGAGAATCATGCCCAACTTGAAGAGCAAACTTCGAAACGGCTTGCCCGGCAAGATCTTGGTGAATAAATCCGCCAACTGAGCTCGGGAGGAGATGAACTGTGGAGAAACAAAACCCTCCTTATATTTGTCACGCACATAATGGCAATCAATCTCCAAATGCTTCGCGCGCTCGTGGAAGACGGGGTTGGCAGAAATGTGCAGGGCCGCCTTGTTGTCACACCATAAGACAATAGGATGTGGTACCTGAATGAAGAAGCTGCCCAAAACAAAGGAAATCCACTGCAATTCTGAAACCACCGAGCTCATAGCTCTATATTCTGCCTCAGCCGTGGATTTGGCAACCGTTTGTTGCTTTTTGCTCTTCCAGGAAATGAGGGCTCCTCCTAGTTGGACACAATAGCCAGTAACTGATCTCCTCGTGTCCTTGCATGTTGCCCAGTCAGCATCACAGTAGGCAGTAAGAGAGAAAGAACCACTATAAGGAAAGAGGAGCCCATAGTCAGCTGTTCCCTTCAAGTATTTCATGATGTGTAATGCAGCATCCCAGTGTGAAGAATGAGGTGCAGTAACAAACTGACTTAGTTGCTGCACGGCATAAGTGATATCTGGTCGAGTCAAATTGAGATAAAGCAGCCTGCCCACAACCCTTCTAAATTGCTCAGGATTACACAGAGGTGTCCCATCTTCAAGCTGCAACTTTAAGCCATGAGGTAGAGGAGTAGACATTGAGTGACACTCTAACATGTTCAAATCACCAAGCATATCCAAGATATATTTCCTTTGAGAAAGGATTGTGCCATGCTGTGACTTTGTAATTTCAACCCCCAGAAAATATTTTGCCTTACCAAGGTCTTTAATAGTGAATTCCTTGTCCAAAAAGAGTTTCAGTTTGGCAAGAAGATCCTCATTGTTGCTAGTCAAGAGAACATCATCTACATAAACTAGGATAGCCATGAAGTGATCGCCTTGCTTGATAGTGAAGAGACAGTGATCATGAGGTGATTGCACCATCCCAAATAAAGACAGTTTATTTGTTAACTCCTTGTTCCATTCCCTTGATGCTTGCTTAAGCCCATATAAGCTCTTCAACAGCCTACACACTTGCCCCTTCTTAGCTGTAGCATACCCTTGTGGTGGAACCATGTAGACCTCTTCTAATAAATGCCCATGCAAGAAGGCATTATTCACATCTACTTGGTGCAGACTCCAGCCCTTCATAGTAGATATGGCTATAAAGATCCTCACAGTGACTAACTTAGCCACTGGACTGAAAATATCAAAAAAATCAATTCCTTCCACTTGGTTATATCCTTTAGCTACCAGCCTGGCCTTAAATCTCTCAACACTACCATCTGGTTTCCTTTTAATCTTAAAAACCCATTTTGAACCAATAGCCTTCTTGCCTGCTGGAAGAGTAGTTAGCATCCATGTATGATTCTGCTCCAAGGCATCAAGTTCTGCTTTCATGGCTGCAACCCAAGCTTGGTGTCTACTAGCTTGGCCATAGTGTACAGGTTCTTTCTCAACACTGACATTCCCCATGAATATGGCTAAATCAGCATTGTCACTTGTTTCTTGAGTGTCTGAATCCTCACAGATATAATCTGCATGCCACTTTGGTGGTTGTCTGTTTCTGTGACTTCTCCTTAGCTGTTGCTCAGGTTGCTGCAAAGGTGTTGAGTCAGTTGGTAGGGTTACCTCCTCAGTGTAATCTTCTTCAGGTAATGATTGTGGTAATGAAAATTCTTGTTGTGGCATTGAAATGTCACTTTGAGGTGCACACTCACTGAAGGGAAATATTTCTTGCTTGAAGACCACATCTCTAGCAATGAATATCTCATTTTCTTCCAGATCATAAAGATTGTATCCCTTCTTGCCTGTAATATATCCAAGGAATATGCATTTTCTTCCTCTAGGATCAAGTTTTGACTTGTTGGGCTTTGTGTTTGCTGCATAAGCCAAGCAACCAAAAGGTTGCATCCTGTGATAATCTGGTTCCCTCTTACATAGTCTCTCATATGGTGTTTCCCACCCTAACACTGCAGTGGGGACTCTATTAATGATATATGTTGCTGTCTGTACAGCAAATGGCCAGAAATCCAAGGGTAAGCTTGCTTGATATAACAAAGCTCTTCCTACCTCCAATAGGTGTCTATGCTTTCTCTCCACCACTCCATTTTGCTGTGGAGAGTAAACACATGTGGTTTCATGTAATATTCCTTTCATGTTGAAGAAGCCATGCAATTCTTTCTCAAGAAACTCCTTCCCATTGTCTGTTCTCACCCTTTTGACTTTATAACCAAACTGTGTCTCAGCCATGTTAATGAACCCAATCACCAACTTTCCCACTTGTGACTTGTGCATCATCATAAAGACCCAAGTACCTCTACTAAAATCATCTACTACAGTGAGGAAGTAAGGTGTCTTGGTGAGGGCTTCTTCTCTGCAAGGCCCCCAAATGTCCATGTGTAAAAGCTCTAGGCAGGTTTCTATATGAATGTCACTTGCTGGGAAAGGTAGTCTATGTTGCTTGGCTTTAAAGCATACATCACAAGCATGTAGTGATCTTTCACTCTTCATGTCACACTTGCCTTTTAAAAATTTCAAATGCTTCATGGCATTAAAGGAGGCATGACCCAAGTTTTTATGCAAGGCTTCTACAGAAAGGTTGCAGTTTACCATGTTTTCATTCTCTTGTGTTTTCCTGTCATAGATGTACAAATTTCCCTTCAACCTGCCAATCCCCACAATTTCCCCAGTAACCTCTCTTTTTAAGTTGCACTTTGAGCCTGAAAAGGAGAACTTCATGTGTTCTCTTTCACACAACTGTCTGACTGATAATAGGTTGTACTTAAAAGTTGGTAACAATAACACATCATGAAGTGTTATATTCTCATCAAGCTCCACATCACCTGTACTCTTGACTTCTTTCATGCTCCCATCTGGTAAGCACACAGTGACCCCATTTCTGAGTGTCTTCAGATTCTTCATTTGCCTTTGTTCTTTACAAATATGCCTGCTTGCTCCTGTATCCACTATCCACTCTTTCCCATGATGATCATCTAATATAGACAAGGCATATTGAACATCATTGTCTTTTTCTCCTGTAAAACTCACAAATTGAGCATAATCAACTTTTCTTGTTGAGTTCTTTTTGTCCTTGATATACTTTGTCAGTTCATTCAATTGCTGAATCACTGATTGCAAATCATTTCCCTTTCCAGTATCCTTTGAACCTTCAAGTGCCCTTGGTGTTTCACCATTATGATATACTGCAGCATTGTTCACATAAGATTTTCCTTGTTGTTCCCTGTACTCTTTGTACCATTCTGGAACCCCATGAACTTTGAAACAGGTAGCTATAGTGTGACCATGCATACCACACTTATCACATATAAGTTTAGCTTTCTCTTCCTTGGTCATTCTGTAACCTCTTCCCCTTCCTCCTGTCAAGCCTTGGCCTGTGTAACCTCCCCTTCCTCCTCTATTATTGTTACCAGAACTCCTTCCATATCCATCTACCTTAGCCACCATAGCTGAGTTGTCAATCCTTTCTCCATACTCAATTTGCACAGTTCTTTGTCTCTCAGCTGAGAGAACCATAGAGTAAGCTTTATTTACTGTAGGAAGAGGATCAATAAGCATGATCTGACTTTTCAAATTATCATAGCTGTCATTGAGTCCCATGAGAAACTGAATTAACTTTGTCTCTGAGTCCTGTTGCACCACAAACTTCCTTTTTTCACAGCTGCAAATCTGAAGAGGAGCCACACAGCTGTACTCATCCCAAAGTTTTTTGAGTTTATTAAAGTATTCCATAACAGATTTATTGCCTTGACAGTGGTTAGAAATCTCTCTCTGTATCTTGTATTTTAGAGGACCATTGTTTTCGCCAAAGCGCTGGCAAATATCTTCCCATAATTCCTTTGAAGTATCCGCATAAACGAAGGACTCAGCAATGTCCTTAGACAGAGAATTCAGAATCCAAGACAGAACTGTGCAATCTACTTTCTTCCATACAACATATCCTTCACTATTTTCATCCGGTTTCTCGATTTCACCATTAATGAATCCTAGCTTAGATTTAGCATTCAAAGCTATCATAATCGACCTTTTCCAGGAGAGAAAATTGTTACCAGATAGAGGATGAGAGATTAACAATAATCCAGGATGATCTGAGCTGCTGAGGGCAAAAGGATCCTGCATCGCGTCCAAAATCGAAGATCAGCTATGATTTGCACCGATTATCCAGAAATCAGCTCGAAATGAATCGCCCAAGCTCGTCTGCTCTGATACCATGTAGAAATCAAAGAAGATGAACCAGAAATTTGGGGAGAAAAATATGTCCTATTATGTCTATTTTCTGATTATCCGTACAAGCATGCAAAATGCTATTTATACACATGCATCACGTCACACATTCAAAACGACGTCGGATAGTGTATTGTTTTGGTTTTAATATGGAAAGAAAAAAAGGTAGTAGCGTAGCTAACACGCTTACAGAGGAAAACATAAAATCGGAAAAAAAAACAAAACAAAAAAAAAAGAAATGAAAAATGTATATATCAACAGTTACTCGATTGCACTTGCTTTGAGTTTAATATATTTCTTCTTCGTTTGGAAAAAAAAAAAAGCGTGGTGAACAAGGAAGTAAATACACAATTTTGAAAATGGATAAAGCTATAAGAATGTTTCCCTCATCAATCTTCGTGTAGGTCTTCATCTTCCGAATCTGCGAAAAAAAAAAAAA